GCCCTGGTGGTGGAGGCGATGTGCTGGGAATCTGCTTCTGTTGTTGCAATACTAGGGATCGAATCCAGGACCTCCACACTGAGCTACGCCCCCAGCCCCTTTTATTTTTATTCATTCATTCATTTATTCATTCATTTTATTTTATTTTTTACTTTGAGACAGGGTCTCTCTCCGTTGCCCGGGCTGGGCTCGAACTTGCCATCCTCATGCCTCAGCCTCCCAAGTGCGGGGAATCGGCTTTAAAACTGAGTTACAGGGCGGCGGATGAGCCGGTGTTCCGAACTAATCCCTTACTGGTTCTCCGGGTTGTCTCTAGTGAAGATCAGTCTCAGCTCCAAATTCTGCATGGTTTTGCCTTCAACAGCCCAAATTTCTGTCACACTTTTGTGTATCACTTGTCTATGGAGTTATTCTTTCCTGGTTTGTGTTTCTGCCCATGTTCTTGGTGTTCCTTAAATTGGCTTTTGTACTTTCCCTGCAGGCCCCCTCCCCTTCTCTAGCTGGGTCTGTGAATGGAATTATTTGATGGCATTTTGTCGCCAGAAAGCTCTATATGTAGGTCCACCCTGCTTCTTCCCCAAACAGACCTATCTGTTGAATCAGCTGTCCATCCAAGAGAAATGAAGACACACACATTTATAGCCCCTTATTCGTGATCTTGCCATTTGGAACCCAGATGCCCTTGGACTAGTGAGTGACAAAGGAAATGAGTCCAGTGACATAGCCACTTCACTCCTAGGTATTTATGTAAGAGAAACAAAAACTTATAAAACATTTTCTTAGATAAAACAGCTACACATGTGACATAACCGAGATTTCCATTTGCGCCTTCTTTTAAATGGAACATCTTGAACTGCACTTGTAAAAGAATCTGAGCACAGAGTCCTTTAAGATTTCCGTGATTTCCCTTGCAGGCTCTTACATCATCTTGCTCATAATTAATTCAATAGCACTTGTTGTAGCTACTCCTCTTTGGCAAGTATTTCCAGCTTTCAAGTTAGTTTTCATAGTAATAGCAACTGTCTCTCTCTCGCTCATATTTAATTATTTTCCATATTATTTCATTAAATTTGTAGTTGCAGTAATAGCATAAAATGTCCTCCAGGTCTTTGGTATGTATATGAATGTTCATGACAGTTTACCTCTTACTGGTTTAGGTCCTGGTAGACTAATCTATACAGAATTAGTTCAACTGTTCTGTCCGTAGCTTTTGTTGCCAGCGGTTATAAAAAGAAAAACAAAACTAAAAAAGGCTAACTAGATGAGAAACTATTTGGACTTACTACAGTATATGATGACACTATTATTGAACTCACTGACTCTGTTACAGTATGCTCTGTGTGGGGTTCCCTAGGGTATGTTCATTTTAGGATTCAGTATCAGAGGAAAGTTAATCTCTTTTGAAGAATTACTATATTGCCTTTCACCGAATGAGAAAAGTCATGTAATCCATTGTATTTCACATTTTGCCTTGGTCACAGTGTTCCTGTGTCAGTTTTGGTAGCAACCATGTTTATTTCCTTCTCCCTTTCGTGACCTTTACATTCTACAAGGTGTGATAAAAAAACAGTACATGTTTAAATTTTAAAAGTTTTTTTTATAGTATTTCCCTCAGAATACTCCCCCTCACTTCCAACCCACTTATCCCATCATTCTTCCCACTGTCCGAACCTGTTCTGGATTCCTCTTTTGGGAATGTCAGTTGTGCTGTTGGAGCTGCCTCACTGTCCTGAATTACTTCAAAACATTGACCTTTCAGGATCATTTTGACTTTGGGGAAGAGCCAGAAGTCGCAAAGTGCCAGATTTGGTGAGTAAGGTGGATGAGGACACTCTGCTTTTTCACTGGATGGCAGTTGGCAGCAGCATTCACTGTATTTTTGTTTTTTAATTTATTTTTGGTACCGCGGATCAAACTCAGGACCTTGCACTTACAAGGCAGGCTCAGTGCTGCTGAGCTAAATCCCCGGCCCTATTCACTGTATTTTTGGTCACACCCCCTAAAGACAATCACAAAAGAGGGCCGGGGATTTAGCTCAGTGGTGCCACTGCCTGCCTCGCAAGCGCAAGGTCCTGAGTTTGATCCCTGGAACCAAAAAAAAACAGCAGAAGACAATCACAAAAGAGAACTTTCAGAGTTGTTTCAGCAAATGACATGAATGATGTGTGTTAAAGGTGAGCGAGAACTGAACACGATGGCATGTGCCTCTAATCTGGAGGCTGAGGCAGAAAGATCACTTTGAGTTCAAGGTCAGCTTGAGCTATATAGTGAGTTCAAGACCAGCGTGAACTACATAGTGAGACCCTATCTCAAAAAAGAAAAAACCAAAGTGAAAGAGAGTGTTTTGAGGGGGATTAATGGCAGTGTGTTTCTTACTACAATAAATTTTATTTAAACATTCATATATTTCAACCACACCTCATGTTTCTTTTCTGCTTTTAAGTGTGTACATATACACACATACATATAGTTTGGTATAAATTGTCTCAAATTCTTTTTTGGGAGAAATGGGATATATAAATATGTATAAATTTTAAAAATTAATGGTGTTCATAATCACCAGTATATATTAATGACCATAATAAACATTTATTGAGTATTAAGTGCTGTTTTTTAATGTAGTTTAAGTCATTAAGTCTTTTTTTTTTGGTACTGGGGATCAAACTCGGGTCCTTGCACTTGCATAGCAGGCGGTGAAACCACTGAGCTAAATCCCCAGCCCTAAGTCTTAAGTCTTTGTGTGTGTGCGTGTGTGTGTGTGTGGCACTAGGGATCAAACCCAGGGGTGCTTTATCACTGAGCTCCATCCCCAGCCTTTTTCTCCTTGCTAAGTTACCCAGGCTGCCCTTGTGATCCTCCTGTCTTGACCTCCTGAATAGCTGGAAATACAGACATGTATTTGCACCTGAATAAATCATTAGCTCTTTGTAGTCACCAACTAAATAAGTTCTTTTCTACATAGAAGACATAGAAACCAGGAGTGGTAGCACATGGCTGCATCCCAGCATTCTGGGAGGGTGAGGCAGAGGAATCACAAGTTGGAGCCTAGCCTGGGCGACTGAGCAAGTTTGGGTCTTAAAATAACAAATAAAAAGGGCTGGGATAATACAGCTCAGTGGGAAGGCCCTGAATTCAGACCCCACGGGGAGGGGGAGGGAGGAATTTAGCTTGTCCAGGGTCATTCCTAGCTAGGCAAGGTGGCGTGGCGCTAGGGTTCAGCCCTGGGGGACTGGTCCTGGAGTGCTCTTCAGTCCCCTCTCCTGTGGTGCTGTCTGCAGTAGGTGCCCAGTAAGTCACTGTGCCACTGTTGACTGTCTTAATGTGGCTTGTTCCACCCGTTCCTTAGCCGTAGGTGTTATCACATGGCTTCTTCTGCAGGAGATTTAGATTGAGTGCTCATTAAACCTTGTTGCCTTGTCGCTGGGGATTTAGCTCAATGGTTCCGCCGCCTGCCCCGCAAGCACAAGGACCCGAGTTCAATTGCCAGTACCAAAAGAAAAAGAAAAAGAGTTTGGGCCAGAGATTTAGCTCAGTGGTTCTGCTGCCTGCCTTGCAAACACAAGGACCCAAGTTCGATCCCTGGTACCAAAAAACAAAAACAAAAAAAATAAATAAAACAACAAAAAACCCACTGTGGCTCATGTTAAGGTGAAATCAGTCCAGGGTCCTGGGACAGCCTTGACATATCTGTCAGTTCTCTGAATTTTGTCTGTTTACTGGGTGTCTTATGTATAACTTGTACCATATTGCCTTTTCTAATGTGTGTTTTTTTGTTTTTTTATTCTTGGTACCAGGGATCGAACTCGGATCATTGTGCTTGCAAGGCAGGCGGCGGAACTACTGAGCTAAATCCCTGGCCCTAATGTGTGTTTTTTTGTTTTTTGTTTTTTTTGGGTTTTTTGTACGGGGATCGAACTCAGAACCTTGTGTTTTTTGAGGCAGGTGCTGGAACCACTGCGCTAAATCCCTGGCCCATATTACCTTTTCTTTCTTTCTTTTTTTTTTTTTTTTGGTATCAGGGCTCGAACTCAGGACCTTGTGCTTATGAGCCAGGCAGCAGAGCCACTGAGCTAAATCCCCGGCCCTACCTTTTCTAAAGTTAAGTACTTTTGACATTTCCTATACCAACCTGTGAAGTCATTGGAGTGTCTGACTGATTTTTAATCCCTTCCAGCCTAAGGAGCGTTGCTCCTTTAGCCTCTCCACATAGCCGTTTTGATGAACTGACACTGCACGTGTGAATGCTCATCCCACGGCCTTTACTAACAGATGCTCATTGAATGTCCATAGGTGCCAGGAACTGTTATGGTGCAAGGGATAAATTCAACTAAATCTCTCTACTTAGGAACCTTCCATTTTCACGCGGAGACAGACAATAGACACGAAATTGAGGTGGTGGTAAAAGCTGTGAAGAAAAGCAAACCTGGACTAGGACATGATAAAGGGCTTACTTGACCTTAAAGGGTTGTCAGGGAAGTGACTCTGGGGAGCTGCCAGCTGAGCAGAGCCGGGATGGAGGCAGCAGCAAGCCCTGGAGGTGTGGAGAGCCCTGCACATGCAGAGGCCTTGCGAGCCAGCAGGGGACACTTTTCTACATAGTCATTGGGCTTGCAAAATGGTACAGCTGATGGAGGGTGTCAGGTAAAAGGACCGAAAACCAAGACCAGACCAGGGCACAACAAGCCTTTATTAGGGGAATAGATCTGCCGGGCTGCCTCTGAACAAAGGAGAGGCAAAAGGAATATGGCTGGGGCAGGGAGAGTCTTTTATAGAGACTGGGGTGGGGTTTGTAGGGGCTGAGGTGGGGTTGAGTGAGGTAGTGACTAGGGAATGGAGGAGCCGGTGATGTCACTAGATGGTAGAAGGTGAGCCAGTATTGTTACTTTCTAGGCGGGAACAGGGGGATGCTGGGAAGAAGGGTTTATTCTTTGGTGGGAGCAACCATCTTGGTGTGACGTCACACAGGGGAGGGGGCAAGGCACGTTAGGAAGAGGGCAGCTACTATACATAATAGCTGCTGAGGTAGTGGGAGACCTATCAGAGGGGAGTTGGCAATACGTAGCTGAACTGTATCCAATCACAATTCTGAGTCTATCCCAAAAATACTAGTGAAAATGGGACATGTGTGCTTTTTTTTTTTGGTACCGGGGATCCAACTCAGGTCCTTGCGCTTGCGAAGCAGGCGGCCGAACTACTGAGCTATATCCCCAGCCTAACATTTTTTGTAGTGGTACTTACAATGGCAAAAGACTAGAAAAAACTCGGAAGGCTCCGGCAGAGGGTTGGATGAATAACCTCCTGATACATCCGTGTGCTGCTGCATTCTTGGAGTTGTAAGAGCAAGGAGGAGATTCAGTGTATGTTGTGGCAGATTGATCTGAGATACGCAGCAAGGGATAGAGAGGACATGGAGTGTATCCCATTTTAAATAAAAAGGCATGAGGGAGAAGAAATACAGCTGGGCCTGCACACCCGTAAATTCTCCCGAGTGTAGATGGAAATACAGTTGGCCCCGCAGTGCTTCTGTCTGCACTGAACATGCAGACTTTTCTTTCTCTTGCCAGTGATTCCTAAGCAATACTGTCCAACAGCTATTCACAGCATTTCCATTGGATTAGGGGTTATAAGGAACCCAGAGAAAACTTCAACTGTAAAGGAGGATGTGTGCAGATTATATGCAGAAACGGTGCCATTTTATGTAGTGGAGCCGGGATTTAACTCAGTGATTCCACCGCCTGCCTCGAAAGCCCAAGGACCCGAGTTCATCCTCGGTACCAAAAAAAAATTGTAATGGACCTGATTGTGGACCGAATCCCTGCAGAAACCAAGGCGACTGTGCATGTGTCCCTTGTTTAAGAAAGGGAAAGTTACACTGAGAACTAAGCAAAAACTATGGACTCCAGAGAGAGCAGGACGGGCAGGGCCAGAGATACTAGGTCTTTTTTTTTTTTTTTGGTACCGGGGATCGAACTTAGGTCCTTGTGCTTGCGCAGCAGGCGGCGAAACCACTGAGCAAAGTCCCCGGCCCACAGAGATACTAGGTCTTGTTCAATTGTTCTTACTTTAGAAGTATATAAAGGCGTGCTAGTTTTAAAACATCTGAAAAGAAAAATAAATGAAGGCTGCAGAGAGGAAGTCCTGGCCCCTCAGTCTACTGCCAGGCGGGCAGGGCCGGGCGGACACGCGGCTGTGCGGGGCAGCGTGCGCACCAGGCCGCAAACCTCAGGTGGCTGCACTGGCTGGTGCCACCCACTCGGCTTCGCCTTGGCCTCAGGCCGAGCAGGCGAGGCGCCTGAGGCTCCGGGTCTCAGGGCCCAACTGTCGGGGTCTCCTTCAGACCTGCTTCGCAGGGCTCCTGGCCTTCCCTCCCCAGCCCCTCGTCTCCCGCGCGGGATCTTCATCGGACCGTCCCACGCGCCGTCTCTCGTTGCATGTTTGCTTCTCCCGTTTTTCCTGTGTGCGGGGATCGGCGCCGGGCCCTGTGCGCGCCTCCTACCGCACCACACCGCAGCCCTGGCCCCGCGTCTGAGCAGCGGCGGCCTCGTCCTCCCCAGCTGCACCCCAATCGAGAGTCAGAGGTTAGGCCCTCTCTGCCCCGGGGCCCGGTGTGAGTGCGCGGGAGAAGCCGAGCGCTGGTCTCCGGCGCGGCCTGGGTCAGGCGGCGGCCTTGAGCAGAGAGAACGGCCCGGCCGCTGAGATCGCTTGGGGCGCAGGGTCCGGGAAGGGAGACCCTCGTGGTGGAACAGCTGCGGGGAGAAGACTGCAGGAAGTTTGCAGGTTTTGATTATCACTGTTTTGTTTGTGTCTTCCAGCTGCTAGGTCAGGCAGCGCGAAACATGGTCCTCCAGGAAGACGCCATCTTGCACTCGGAAGACGTAAGAAACGCATCCTGTTGTAATCTGGGGTTTAGTACGCAGTTTGTATGGCTACAGGGAAGTGGAATGTTTTCTCTCTCTCTTTGTGTGTGCAGAGTTTACGGAAAATGGCAATAATCACAACACACCTTCAGTACCAGTGAGTACGCCCGCCTTCCCAGCTACTGCTCGCTGGAGAAGCATTAGCCCGGGCCAAAAGCCGCAGGAGAGTGGGGTGGGAGGCGAACAGACACTGGGGCGACCTTTGCTGAACCTCCCTGCGTCGGGGGCCTCGGAGGGACACCCCGTGTAGGGCAAGGCCCTGTGCCTGTACCCCGGGGGTCAGATGTCCGGGAACCTCTGTCATCCAGGGAATTGGGAAATGAGGCCTCTTCTGTGTAACTTTGAGTAAAGTTATAATTTAATTTGCTTCTCATCTTACTTAATTTTGTTATATATTTTAATAGTTGATTTTACGCTCATGTTTGATTGGAAAGATATAGTTGGGAATTTAAATCCTGATATTTAAATAGCTGATCTTTTTCCTGTTTGCCTTTTGGATGTGTTAATAGTAAGTATGCATCATTTGACTCCATGGGCTCAGACTGCACTGGAGCCAGGCATGTCGTTTGTTGGGTCACCCCCTCCCTCTGCAGGAGTATTGTTAACTTTCTTAAGTTTGGAAGCCCTTTTTTTTTGGTAGCAGTTTTGCTCTCAGAATGGAATCCCTGTTCTGTAGTATAATTGTAGAATAGGATTGCAGAAATAACAATGTGACAGAAGCCAGAAAATTTTTCTGGCCATATCTTTCTGGCTATAATTTCTACTTTATTGTTTTTTCTTATGTTTATTTTCTTCTTTCTTTTTCTGGTTTAGGCAAGAAGCTATTCAGAAGAAGTAAGTAACCCCAATAGGGGAGTGGAGAGCCAACTGAAGCAGGCTTTGGAAAATTATACTGCTGCCCCAGGATCAATTGACATAGGCCCTTAGATTGACATGCTCCAGAATAGCTCATCCAGAGTTTAAAGAAAACAGTATATTTCAAAGTCATGTGGTAACTCAATTTACTGCCAATAAAGGCTTATTTATTTATTTATTTATTTATTTTTGGTACCGGGGATCGACCTTGGGACCTTGTGCTTTTGAGGCAGGCACCAGAACCACTGAGCTAAATCACCGGCCCCAAAGGCTTTTTTTTTTTGAGATAGGGTCTCGCTCTGTAGTCCAGGCTGGCCTTGCACTCATGCTGAACCTCCAGCCTCAGCCTCAGCCTCTGTGTGCTGGAATCACAGATGTGCGCCACCAAACCCAGTTCCAATAAAGATTTTCTAGAAGTTACAGGGTGTACCAAGGTGTAGTGGTGCACACCTGTAATCCCAGCACTCTGAAGGCTGAGGCAGGAGGATCGCCATGAGTTTGAGGCCAGCCTGAACTCTATAGGGAGCCCTTGTCTCTAAAAGTCAAAAGTTGCAGGGTACAGCAGTTAACTTTAAGGAACAGAAGATGCTTTACACGGATAATGTTACGTAAAGTAAAAGTGCTGAAACCACTGAGCAGCCTTGCTTTCTCATGTGAATTGAATGTGCCCCTTGCTCTACTGTTCACATTACTGATTGGCTTTGCAAACCTTTCTTCAGAGTTTAAGCTTTGTTTTTTTCCATGAGACTGGGTATTGCAGTGTTGCCTGGGCTGACTTTGAACTCCTGTGTTCACGCTTTCTCCTGCCTCAGCCTCCAAAGCCGCTGTGACTCCATGTGTGCAGCGCCCTGGGCTCAGAGTCTGCACACTCTTGGCACCCAAGTGGGCCGATATAAATTTTAATTTAGCTGTGATAATATTTGTGCATTAAAGGATAGATTGTACAAAGAAATGTCTTTATTGCTTATCTCAGATAAACCTTTTTTTTCACATTTTTTTGTCCGTACATGTTTGCAATACATAATGAATATATTCATCTCGGGGAGCTGGTGTGTGTACATACTGTATTACATCGTAATCCTTTTCATGTCTCCGTTCCTTCTCCTCTCCCTCCGTCGCCTTCTGTTCTTGTTTCTAGTGTCGAACAGTCATCAGACCTACAGGACCAACTGAAACATCTCTTGAAATAGACTGGCATAGAAGAGGGTAATAGCACTTCTTTGTCAGATGCCAAGGAGGAAATATCTTGCACAACTGGCTTTCATTTTCCATTTTCATCTCTAAAGTTAACTTAGAAAAGATTCGTGTTGATGTAGTTTCTCCTGAAAAGCAACGTGGCTGAGTTTTGGAAGCACTTCTTCAATTGAACTAACCTGTGCGCTTCATGAATTTTTAAGTTGCTCTGTTTATTTTATATTAAAGCAAGATTGAAAGACATCTTAGTTTTTGGCTTGGATTTTTGATATGTCAAAACCATACTGCCAAAAAACCCCTAAAAAACAAAAAACCATACTGCCCAAGTTGACCCTTAAGCAAATGCTAAGTAAAATTTTACATTCAGAAATAGAGCTTCCAGCTGGGCATGGTGGCACCTGCCTGTGGTCCCAGCGACTGAGGAGGCTGAGGCAGGAGGATCATTGAGCCCAGGAGTTTGAGACCAGTCTGGGCAGCATAGTGACACATCAAAAAAAAAAAAGTTTCTGTTGTGAATGCACAAAAATGATTAAAACGTGTGAAAAAGTTTTTCTTTTAATTATTCCTTCAGGAAATATATTCATTGATACAGAACCATGATAGGTAATACCCGTGGTTTTCTAATTATTCAGAGGAGACAGTTGCTTTAGCAAACTCCCAAATGAAAATTTGGCAAATAGAATCGTATCTGGCCAGCTGCAGCCTCCTGCCTTGACCTTCATTCCTAAGCTTCCTTTATTGTTGTGACTCTTGATCAAACGACCTTGGTTCATTTTGTAATTTTCTAATCATACATAAGTTGATTTGTATATTATTGCCAAATGCGAAGGGAGCTGAATTACTCTCAGTGATTGTGGCATAGGATTGTTCCATGGTGAAGACCTTAAAGTTTGTAGACATTTACCTATGTTCATTAGATTCATCTTGTTAAATGTTACTACCATTATCTAAGGTCAAACCTCAATATCTTTACTTTGAATTTAAAATAGGACTCTGTCCTGTTCTTGAATATTTCATTTACTAAGGAATTGAGAGAAAACTGACATAAGAAAATAGTGTCTTCATTTGAGTATATGTGCTGCTAAAGCAAGCACAATAGTGTCTTCATTGACAGATAAAAAAGCAAATAGTCTAATGTAATTCATAGTGTAACATTAACTTAAGCATATGATATTAATCTCTCATATATATACATATTAAATTAGTAAAATAATTGAGAAGAATCCAAAAAGGATTCACTTATCCATTAACTCTACAAACTTTTATTTTATTTATTTATTTATTTATTTATTTATTTTGGGGTGGGTACTGGGGCTCAAACTCGGGTCCTTGAGCTTGCACAGCAAATGGCGAAACCACTGAGCTAAATCCCCGGCCCTCTACAAACTTTTATTAATAACTATATTATTAAATGTAAACAAGCTCAATTTGCCTTTAAAAAAAGGTCACCAATTTAAGTCCAATATGGGTATGGTGGCCCATGTCTGTAATCCCAGCACTCAGTACATGGAAGTAGGAAGATTGCCACAAGTTCAAGGTCAGCCCAGGCAACATAGCAAGACTCTGTCTCAAAAAAAAAAAGAAGAAATAAAGAAAGAAAAAAACTATAAGGGCCGGGAATGTAGCTCAGCCGTGCACCATCTGCCTGGCAAGCGCGAGTCCCTGAATTCAATTCCCAGTACCCAAAACCAAACAAAAAAACCTCAACAGTTTAAAAATGGAGAGTTCAAGATCCACCCTGGGCAAAGGCATAGAAAAAAAAAAATTATTTCAGGGCCAGGGATTTAGCTCAGCACCACCGCACCTGCCTCACAAGTGCAAAGTCCTGAATTTGATCCCTGGTATCAAAAATAAAATAAATAAAGCTAAAAGCAAAAGAAATTTCTTCTTAAAAGAATGTTTGAAAATCCAAGAACCAACCTCATATTTAGTGAAGAAAAGGAGTCACAGACCCTTAATATTACAACCTTACAAAACTACTAAATTTTGGCCCCATGTTTTACAGATAAAAAGCACTGATCGAAATGAAATTACTTGTCCAAGCTCTTGTGTTTGAAGTCCTTTGATTACTAGTCAAGCTTTTTGCTATCTGTCCTTTTTTAATAAATAGAAGCAAGTATGTCACCTGTCATTTCTAGTCTTTGACATAATAAGAAACCCAGAAAAGAAAATTATTTTACAAGTAGTTGAATCCAACTCATTACTTACCCCTGTTTCTGCAGCTCATATAGCTTCTACTTAATGATTCCAGTGTTTGAGGGTCATTTACTTTGGGATGCTGGCCATTTTGGAGAGCTTTACTTTTTTTTTTTTTTTTTTTGGAGACAGAGTCTCCCTGTATAGTTCAGGCTGGCCTTGAACTCACTATGTAGCCCAGGCTAGGCTTGAACTCACAGTGATCCTCCTGCCTCAGACTCCTAAGTGCTGGGATCACAGGTGTGCGCCACCACACCTGGCTGGAAAACTACGTTTTGAAAGATGGTTCTGAGTACTGAACCAAATCTGTCTTCCTGGACCATCCTGGAGTTATCAGACCAGCAATTTCTGAGGTGGAATGTGTGGCAGTATGCATCAGGCCATCTTGGGAGGTAAGGGACAAACATTTGGGGATTTCGATATAGGATGATTTTTTAGTCTTAAATAATATTAGCTTTTGCTATTATTTAACATATGGCTTGGTACAAGAGCCCTAATTTGGCCTAGGTAGTATACATAGATATCTAGCATTCCTACCATTTATCAAGGGTGAGAGTAAAACAAAAACAAAAACAAGGGCTGGAGTTGCAGGTCGGTGGTAGAACTTGAGTCCTTAGTTTCCATTCCCAGCCCTGAAAATGAAGCAGCAGCAGCAGCAGAAGGAGCAAGGACAACAAAACAGACTTGTGGTCTGCACTGACCACGCACATTGATCAAAAGTGCAGTCCAGTTCCAGACTAGCTCAGCACACCACATGGGACCTGGCAATCAGTCAGCCTAAATCAGTGGAGGTTCCTTTACTGCAGTTCATCTGTGTGTGGTTAAGAGTTATCAGCTAATTCTCGTGAATAAACCGCAAGCTGAAGATAATATTATAAAGCAAGCGCAAGTGAAAGTAAAGGAACCTGCCCCTTAACCACCTGCTAATTTGTCCCTGCGAGAGAAAGCAGCCACCTTAACAAGGAGAAAGGAGCTCTCTCGGCTTTAACGTCATCTTCTTAGAAACCTCTGTGCCATAAGAACCAAGTGGAGGAAGGAGCGAATGCACAGGTTGAAGTGCAAAAGAAGAAAGATGAGGCAGAGGTCCATGTGAAATAGCTTGTACATCCATGGAGGCCTAAGGAGCTCCTAAGGAATGCTGGAGGCCAAGGACGCTGGTACAAGTTGGACTGCATGCTGCTGCCTAGAATGTGTCTCCGTGGATTTGAACTTCGTTACCCGCTGATCGCCAGGATCAGAGAAACCCACCTGTTCATAGCTGAAGCGGGCCCTGTCGGTCTTTCAGCCTGGACCTGTGGCATCCTGGACCACTTCTGTTCTCAGTTATGGCCGAGTGTAACACGTGTACAATAAACCATCGCTTCTGCTGTTAAAAAAAAAAAAGGCAGTAAGAAAGGAGCTGCTTTGCTAAAGGGACTCATTTTGTGGGAAAATAGTTTGAAAACTAATATCTAGGAGTATTTTCACCATTCTACGATTGCTAAAACTGTAAGTTACACCTATAAAAATGCTCAGTTTTACACATTTAGTAATTGAAATATTCTAATCTATAAAAATTCCAACAACCATAGCTTCAGTTGGTTTAATTTAAAATATAAAAATACAACCCCTATTATTATTCTTTTTTTGGTACCAGGGATCGAACTCGGGTCCTTACGCTTGCGAGGCAGGCGGCGGAACCACTGAGCTAAATCCCTGGCCCACAACGCCTATTATTAATAGTGAGAAAACTTACTAGCCTGATTTCCAAAATTTTGTTACTAGCAAATGAGATGGAAAAATTGAGAATTTAGTAAGAGTCCACTTTTTCCACTTATGTATCCTTTTGCTTGGCTCTTCCTGGCTTATTGTCCTGATGAATGGAAATGTTTATTACAACCAGAAAAGGAAATATGATACACAAACATAACTGTGGAAACAAAAATAATTTTGAAATATATATTTTCTATATCCATGGTGGTGCGTGCTTGTGATTCCAGCACTTGGGAGGCTGAGACAGGAGAATCGCTGTGAGTTTGAGGCCAGCCTGGGCTGCACAGTGAGATCAAGGCCAGCCTGAACTACGTAGTGAAACTATAACACTTTTTTCCTGAAAGGTGGCTTGACAACATGTGGGAAACACGTGAACTGACCAAAAAAATTGCCAGAGGTGAAAATGAATTTAGCGAAGTTGTTTCCCTAAATGCAACTCAAAATGAGCGGGGAATGGGTGCCGCCCTGACCGCATCTAGGAGACCTTCCAAGCGGCGGGACCCGGGGAGGGTGCGGGGCGCGGAGCCGCTGCGGCGTCCGTCCGGATTGGCGGGCTGCGCGCTTAGCGAGGTGAATCTCGCCGCGCGGGGCCATCTCGGGCGAACCTGACTTGCAGAGCGGTGTGGGGCGCCGGCGACCCGGCCTGGCCGCTCCGGGCAGAGGACGCGGCCCTCAACCGAGGCCGGCGGGTGGCCCCGCAGACCCGGCCTCGCCGCTCGTCCCCGCCGCCCGGCCCGAGCGCCAGGCTGCGCGGGTGCCTCGGGCCTGCGCCCGTGCGAGAGGCGGAGACGGCCGGAGCCGAAGGTTTGTTCAGCGGCTGGCGCAGTCCTGGCCGAACCGGGCGCCCGGCGGCGAGGTCAGTGCTTAATTAACAAAAATCTACCTGAGGCGGAGCCGCAAACCCCGGCCCCGGGGCAGCCCGTCGGGCGCCGGCCTTCGGGTACTGGGGGACCGGCCGCCTGAGGAGACCGAGGAGAGGAGGGAAAGCAGGGGCAGGGAGAGAAGAAGGGAGGGGAAACCCGGTGCCCGCACTGCGCTCCCGCTGGCTTGGGGTCGGAGCCAAAGGGCAGAGGCTGCCGCGCAGGCGGCTCAGGGTTGGGTTGGGTTAGGGCTGCGGGCCGAAGGCCGGGAAGGCAAAAGCGCGAGGAAGGTTTCTCAACCACATTCTTCAAGAGATGATAAAGCGGGCTCCTTTGTACTCTCCAAGGGTAAGTTAGGAAGGCTGCAGTGTAGCAATGATGGCGCAACCGTTTAGCTAAGAACGCCGAGCCGAGCGTTAGAAGTTCTTTGGGGAGAACGCAGAGTCCTTATCTGACTTGAATCTTACGATGACCTCCCGAAGTCATCTGCCCTGCAGGATTCCAGCCCTGAGGGAGGGGTTAGTTCAGGCAAAGCCTTGTAGCAGGGGTTGTGTACCAGGCTACAGCGTGTCCCACGTGTCCATGGCAATCGTTTTAAATTAAGTTTATCGTACACTTTAGATATACATAGTGCTCACATTCATCATAGGGAATTTGATACTTTGTATAATCTCTCTTGGTTCTTCTTTCCCCTCCCCTCCCTTCAAACCCTCTTCCCCTCCTTATTTACAAAAGCTTTGTTCTCTTTTATTCTTCTCTAGTTTTTTCCCTTCTCTTTCCTTCCCCCTCCTCCCTAGTTCCCCTTCCCATTTCAACATTTTCTTCCTATTTCACTATACCTATTATACTGTGTGTGTGTGTGTGTGTGTGTGTGTGTGTAAGTGTAATACCGGAGATCAAACTCAGGACTTGTGCTTTCAAGGCAGGCATGGTGCCGCTGAGCTAAATCCCCAGCCCCTCTGTTATACATTTTGGTCCTTATTTACACTTTTGGTAAATAACCAAAGAGAGGATGCGATATTCACGCTTGTGTCCGATTTATTTCACTTAAGAGTATGGTCTCATGCACCCATTTACCTAGAAATATCTCAAGTTTATCCTTCTTAATGGCTGAGTAGTATTCCATTGTATAAAAAGACCACATCTTTATCCATTCATTGGTTGATGGGGATTTGGGCTGTTTCCAAGATTTAGCTATTACAAACTGTGCTGCTATAAACATAGGTGTGTTATGATGCTTTTAATTCTTTCAGGAAGATACCAAGAAGGGGAATACTTGGGATAAATAGAACCTCTAGTCCTAGTTTTATGAGGAATCTCCACAGTGGTTGCAGGTTGCACCAGTCCAAACTCCCAGCAACAGTGGAGCAGGGTTCCTTTTTGCCCCAATAGCCCCTCCAGCATTTGTTATTGGTTGATTTCTTGATAGCAGCCATTCTTTCTGCAGTGAGATGGAATCTCAGTGTGGTTTTTTTTTGTTGTTTTTTTTTTCGGTACTGGGGATCGAACTCAGGACCTTTCACTTTCAAGGCAGGCGCCAGAACCACTGAGCTGAATCGCCGGCCTTCAGTGTGGTTTTAATTTGCATCTTTTGAATGGCCAGTGATGTTGAACATTTTTTCATGTATTTAATTAATTAATTAATTTATTTATTTATTTTTGGTATCAGAGATTGAACTCGGGACCTTGAGCTTTCAAGGCAGGTGGCGGAACCACTGAGCTAAATCCCCAGCCCTCATTTATTTGTCATTTATACTTCATCTGAGAAGTGTATATTCATCTCAGATGCCCATTTTTGGATTAGGTCTTTAAATTTGGGGGATCTGATTCTTTTACTTTATATATTCTAGATAGTAGACCTTTGTCTGAGGAATAGCTGGCAAAATTTTTTTCCCACTCTGTGGGTTGTCACTTCACTTTGTTGGTGGTTTCTTTTGCTGTATATTTATTCAAAATAGTCTGAGGAAGCATATTCTATAAGTAATAGGAAAATTGAGGGAAGTAGTAAAATTTTTAAAACAAGGTCATCATCAGATCTATACTTTTCTTCCTTAGGTGGAAGTGGCTAAAAAGTATCTTGGCTACCACATGAAAAAATATAGCTCGCAGGCATCCAATGTGAGTTTTTTTGTTTTGTTTGTTGTTTGTTTGGTACCAGGGATCGAACTCAGGTCCTTGCGATTGCACAGCAGGCGCCAGAATTACTGAGCTAAATCCCCGGCCCCACAGTGTGAGTTTTATGCATGACTATGCTGAAAAGTTGGCAGAGGCTGGAATCCGGAATGAGAGTTACATTGTTATGTCGGGCCATAGCCTTAGGAGTAAAGCCCTTTCTTTTGGAACACACAAATGTCACCATTTTTGCTGAGCTGATTCTTATTTAAGTGTTAACTGTAGTATGTCTTCACGGAAGAAGGGACTAGCGCTGAGCTGCTCTGGGCTGCTAGGCGCAGAGCACATGAGCCCATGAGAGAATTCCCCCAGATCAATAAGCACGGGAGAACAGCCAGACCGTTACCTTTGGCGTAGTCGTGCGCTTTACCAACAGTGGTGTGTGCTGAGAATGTGTCATGAAGCAGCGTCCCCATTGTATGATCATCTTGTGTCCTGCTGCTCCTTAGGCTGAGATGAACAAAGCAGCAAGATTAGATAGAGTCCAAGAAAAAGGGTGCAACCGAGGATTCAGTAAAGAGCTGCGAGAGGCGGCTGCTGGCGCGACACGGCATGGTGTTTTAACTGTGATCTCTGTGAGTGGAGGACCGTGCCCTAAAGTAACAATGGCTAGATGTGGTGGTGGCAGTGCACGTCTGTAATTCCAGTTACTCAGGAGGCTGAGGCAGGAGGGTCACGAGATTAGTGAGATTTAGTCTCAGAAAATAATATTAAAAGCTACAGATACAGCTCAGTGGTAGAGGGCGCCCATGTTTGAACCCAGGTACCACAATAATAATGATAATAAAGAAATAATGATAATAAAAATGTGCCTTAAAAAATCCAAGCTCAGGGCCGGGGATTTAGCTCAGTGGTGCCACCACCTGCCTCGAAAGCGCAAGGTCCCAAGTTCGATCTCCAGTACCAAAAAAAAGTTTACTGAGATTTTTAAACACTCTGCTTCTATTATCTTGAGAAAAAGGCTGAATGTGGGGAAGAGAGCAGGGAGGGAGAATGAATGGGGTAGCTTGGACAGAATGGTGGGAGCCATCTTTAGGAATGTAAAGGATTTGAGTCTTTTAACGTCTTTTTACTTTTTTTTTTTTTTTTTAGCTCAACTTGCTATTAACCTTTAGCCTGATAAACAGCAAGTGGTACCAGGAGGGCAGGCCGAGATGAATGAACTTGAAACATCTGTGAGCTCTGCTAGGGCACGTCCCGTCTCACCCTCGAACCGAAGACTCTTGCTGTGGTAGGGTTCTTTTAATTCTTTGGGGAAGATCCCCAGCAGGGGAATATCGGGGTCAGATGGGACCTCTAGTCCTAGTTCTTTGAGGTCTCTCCATCCTGATTTCCACAGCGGTTGCACCAGTCTGCACTCCCACCAACAATGGAGAAGGGTTCCTTTCTCCCCACACCCCTGCCAGCATTGGTTATTGGTTGATTTCTTTCTTTCTTTTTTTTTTTTTGGTACCGGGGGTTGAACTCGGGTCCTTGTGCTTGCAAGACAAGCGGCTGAACCCCTGAGCTAAATCCCTGGCCCTACTGGTTGATTTCTTGATAGCAGCCATTCTTTCTGGGGTGAGGTGGAATCTCAGCGTTGGGAAACACACAATTCTGAGATTAGGGGGCTGGAGGTGTAGCTCAGTGGTAGAGCACTTGGCTACTGTTGCCCTAAAGCCCTGGGTTCCACCCCAAGATCCCAAAAGAAAAAAAAAAAAGATGATGAGATTTTTTGATTTATAGAACTGTCATAAACCATCTCCCAATGTCTTTATTATTATGCCCTTTAATAGACTGATAAGCCATCTTCACTAAGCTATGCTTAAGAAAAGCTAAATATCACTCGTTTACTTTAGATTTATATGACAATTTCCCTGGAAATTGAACCTGTGGAGACCAGATGGCAGGAAGGGGGCCTGACTGGCAACCTCGGGAGCACGGAGGGGAGAGGCCACGCGAGCGTGCAGACTCGCTGCAGGGAGACGTAGAACACCTGAGGGTGAGCTGTTTGCCCGGAGAAGTGGCGTGGAGGGAGGAGCCAGGTGAGTCCTGCGTGACTCTAATTGCCTGCGCCAGTGTCTGAGTGGACAAAGCGAAGGTGCGCCGGCCCCTGGGGCTCTGTGCCGAAGGAGACATGGGCCGCCTGGCCTGCAGATTTTAACCTGTTCCGGTCTCTCTACTTTCATCTTCGTTGCTCCTTGGTCAGGTTCGAACTCGGTTGTAGGCTGGTTCCTACATGAACCCACCCAGGGCTTTATGTACAACAGGCAAGCACAGTACTCTACCACACACCCCAGCCTGATACTTTTTTTTTTTTGGTACCGGAGATTGAACTCGGGTCCTTGCGCTTGTGCAGCAGGCGACGAAACCACTGAGCTAAATCCCCAGCCCAGAAAAATTGTAGAATTTTTAACGGTTAAGAGTCTAGAGCCCGTATTTCCACTAACAGATGAATGGTTAAAGAAAATGTGTACACACAAATGAGTATGCTGTAAAGAGGGATAAACGAGTCATTTGTAGGAAATCGGATGCACCTTAGACCCTAATGTTAAGCGAAGTAATGCAGCTTAAATATCACATGGTTTCTCTTACATAAAAACTTAGTGTGTAAATAAAGTGCAAAATAAAAGACAGATAATAAGAAAAGAGAGAAAGCTATTGTATTCCAGCTGTGCTGGGCAGGGTTGGGCACACCTGTAATCTCAGTATTTGGGAGGCTGAGGCAGAAGGACCACCATGAGTTTGAAGCCATCGTGGGGTACGTAGTGAGATCCTGTCTCAAAAAAAAAAGTAAGAGAAAAAGAAATGAGGTGTGTTATGTACATGTACGAATTCCCCACAGTGAATGTAACCGTCACATACTGCAAACATGTACTAATAAAAATTTTAAAAGAGCCTATAAACACTGTTTATATCTTCTGTTAGTTTTACAGCCACCTGGGGCTGCCTTTAGTTCTGCCTGGCTAAAACTGCAGGCAACTGGAATGTATTTAGGAGCAAGATCTAGCAAGTAACTTCACCGAGTGTTAAAAGGCGTCTGGGTTGATGAGAGCAGGCTGCGTTCAGAGGGTCTCGTCGCCCTCAGTGGCAGCTCAGATGTTCCAAGTGGGGTTTGGAAATCAATCCTGAGCGCTCAGTCCGTCCATGTCCCGGCCCAGTCCCATCCCTGACCTTGCTCCTATGACAGCTCCCTGGGGAGTAGTGTTCAGTGACGTCCTTGCTAGCCTTGAGTTTCCAGAAGTCAACGCACACAGTGTTCTGGGGCCTTCTTTTCTTTAAGGCAGATTATTATTTATGTGCAGAGCTGCATTCTGCCGCCAGCCAGGCAGAGGATTTGTGGTGAGATCAGGAGAGTGAGGCCCAGGCGGGCTGTCCTTCCTTTGCCGCTCAAAAGGGACCCTGTCCTGGATAGTTTAATTATGAAACTCTAAATCATTGTTTTTCAAACTGTAAAATGTAAATCTACACGCAATCCACCTTATAGGGCTGTTAAGATCGAATGGGGTCCGGAATGAGAACACCTTGACGGCGACAGAGTGGAAAGGAAGGTGGGCTCCAGAGTGGGCCTCTCACCCCTCCTGCTCTCGCCTCTTGTTTTGATCCCTTTGCTGTCACTTTAATGGAGCCTCTGGAAGCTGAGGAGACAAATGTGTGCTTGCGGTCAGTCTATGAAATTAAGAGTTCTTTCTTTTAAATAATTATGTTGGCCACCGAGCCTCTTCACAGGGCCTGCCCTGCACTCCAAGGTGTGCTTTTATTTTCATTTTTACTTTCTCCTCCCTTTTCACATGGCCCAAACTTGTTCTACAGAGCACATCTCCCCTCACCCTTCTTTTTGTTTTTCCTACTTCTAATAAATGTGAAACTTTGCCAGAAAGTAAAATGAAATGTTAACTTTTTGCACAATAGTAAACAGGCCGGGAGTAGTGGTGCATGTGTGGGAGGCTGAGGCAGGAGGGTCCCTGTGAGTTTAAGGCCAGCCTGGACTATACAGTGAGACCCTATCTCAGAAAACTAAGAAGTAAACAGACATCGGTCAAAAGCAAGAAACTATTTTTAAAAATATGTATAATCTATATTCAATGATGATCTTTTTAACATAGAGTTTAATGTTCTAATTTTGTTTGTTTAGCATAGTTCCTAAACCTAAAAAAAATTTATTTTTGAGAAGGGTCTGCCTGTGTAGTTCAGGCTGGCCTGGAACTCACTATATAGCCCAGACTGGCCTTGAACTTGCAGTGATTCTCCTGCCTCAGCCTCCCGAGTGCTGGGATTATAGGCATGCACCACCACGCCTGGGTACCCCTTCGTATTTATAATAGTTAATTGTTTAGAACAGGCTTAGTGATGACTTCAGTCCTGATTTTGGCTAACAGAGGTTCTCCCAATGTTCACCAAAGTCAAAACAGTGGCGCAACTCAAATACTGAATGTTGGAAGCCCAAGGAAGCCAGATGGGGCACTGCTGCTGCAGGGTGCTGCACAGCGTGGGGATTATGCACACAGGCGTTGGGGTGCCATGTTCAGAGTCTGGCTCTGCCGCTCAGGTACAAGCTTGAGTAATGACCTCACCTCCTTCACCCCTGGGTGCCAGATGGAGGCAGGAACGACTTCTTCCCCGGGTGGTGAGGATCCTGGGAAAGGCCAAGCCCCGTGCTCCACTCTCAGGACAGAGAAACAGAGGCTGTGGTGGCAGGGACTTTTGCTTCTTGGCTTTCGTGGTTGCTCAGAGCCGTGCACAAAGCCTGGGGCTCTGACCAGGACTCTGTCAGCCTCCCACACTCCCTCCGCTGCCCCAGCTTCTGCAGCCCCGCCATGAGCTTTTCTGTTGCTCGTGGTCAACGGTCATTTGGGACATGCTGACTGCGCACCCACGCACATGAAGTCTGGTGCTTTTTCCTCTTTTCCTTACCTCATAAACAGGCCTAGAGTAAAATTTTCCGGATGACCCGTTCTGGAATACCGGTCCTCCTGTGTAAGGCCTGACACCCGGCTCCCGTGCACCCAAGAGGCGGAACCAGGGTCCCACCGAGAACAGTTAACCTGGGGACTTCCTGGGGGAGTGCGGTCCCGGACAGCAGCAAGACCAGTTGGATTCCCAGGCTTTAAGCCAGAAAGAAGGAGCTGTCTATACAGATATGTAGACACATGCGCAACTTAGGACATGGTGGCTGGAATGTACTGAGTTATCTTCAGCTGGTACCAGCTGCGGGAGCGTTCCCGCCACCGGGTCTGGTTGTAAAGCCGCAAACCACTCTCGTGGCTCTGCCTGGGAGACCACACGGGAGAGGCAGTCATGGCAGCACAGCCAAGGTGGCCACCGTCCCTCAGCTGCCGTTCCTCCCAGTAGAGCAGGAGCGTGTCTCGCGAGTCCGGGTCAGGACTTAGCGGGTGGATGGTTAAGTCCAGAGCAGCATTTGCAGGGCCACCTGACCAGCGGCGTGATTTTTGTGCATCTGGACAATGTTGTGTAACTCCCTACCTGTGAAAATCGTTCTCCAAACTTTATCTGGCTTTGTCACCAGACACAGAGGGCTTCGGAGGCATGTCAGGCAGGTCATAACAATGCCAGGTGCTGTAATTCCTTTCCTTTTCTTTCTTTTTTCCTGACAATACCGGGAATTGCACCTTGGGCCTTCTTTATGCTAGACAGACGCTCTTCCGAAAGCTCAGCTATGCCCGCAGACTCACATCTTTTGATTGTCCCTCTAGTCTCAGTTCGTCCACCTGGCAGCTTGTCCGACCTGGTCCTTGCCACCTCCCAGAGGCAGGAAGGCTAGGAGGGGTCCCGTTTTGCTCCCCTTCAATACCACCTCCTCTCGAGACCCATGCTGTCAGGGCCTGGGAAGCTGAATGCCAAGCATGGAGCAGGGTTAACCTCCCAGCTCCTAGTGGCAACAAAATGCATTTTGCTCTGGTGGCCTCACTCCCGTGTCTATGTGGAAAGCATTCTGGGGTGCCATGGGTCACGGTATTCAATGCCTTGTCTTTGCCAGGTCCTTGGAGGGTTAGTAAATATACCTGAAGCCTCTGGTCACCCCTAAGGCCTTCGCTCTGGGGCAGCTGTGGCCCCATTCTGAGTCACGGGGAGTGGGGATCTAATCCATGGAGCCAGTAATGCTGGATCTTGGAAATTCTTCACCCTCCTCCAAAGGAGGGAAATGCAGGGACTGCCCTGTGGACTTAAGATCTTCCTGCAAGGCTGCTAGATTGCCTTAGCTTGTTCCGCTGTCTTCAGTGGGGTACTGTCACCAAGCAAACCGTATCACATGTGCCTTCTGGTCTTCATCACAACCCTCCATTTCTTTTCTCCCACTTTTAATGGGGGTTTTTTTCTTTTTGTTTTTTGAGTCAGGGTCTTGCTATGTAGTGCAGGGTGGCCTTGAACTTACTATGTAGCCCAGGCTGGCCTCTAACTTGAGTCAATCCTCCTGCCTCAGCCTCCTGAGTGCTGGGATTACAGGGGTGCACCACTCTTTTCTCCCACTTTTGTCTGTCCTTTTTCCTACCAGACTTTGTAGAAAGTTGCATCCTGTCCCTGTCATGTGCAGTCTCTCCCAAGCCAGCAGTGGCCTCCCCTGCGTCATAAGCATCCTGTCTGACCACCGGACTAAGGAGGAGGAGAGGCCCAGGTGGTTTTCACAGGGCTGTAGGATGGCTGCTTTGGGTCCTTGAAGCCCAGGATGCCAGTGGCTCTCACGTCCCCAGTTCCTGCAGAACAGCCTGGGCATCCGCCATGCTTTTGCCTGGCCATGCCTGTCATGGCCAAGATGATCCAGTCTTATGGGGGTGGTTGCCTCAGGTCTGGAGGGCGGCCTGTAGGTGCAGTGTGACAGCGAGACGTGTGGTAATGTCAGTCATGTTCTCAGTTCATCTCCCACCAGAGAAATGCCACCCTGTGCCCCGCACCTGAGTCTTGGCATCAAGGCAGCCAGACTCACAGGTGACCGTCTGGCGGTTTTTGCGGTGTCCAGCACTTCTACAGCAGCCCAGGCTCCCCGGTGGGCGGCCTCTGTGTGCAGCACCTCTGTCTTTCCTTGTACCGAGGTCAGCAAACCTAAGGAGGCTCTCGGCAGGGGCCCATTCTCTGTCGCTAGATCCCTGACTCCCCTGACTCCCCTCCTCCCAGGGATTCCAATTCTTTGTGTCCCCTTCTGACGTCAGAAAACATCCCGCACTGCTCATTTTCTCTCCAGTTCTTTCCCTCCCTCTATAAGGGGTTTCAGACCTGGCATTTCGTTTTCCCACCTAGTGAAGAGAGCGTAGAGACACAGCGGATGTCCAGTTAGCTCTCCTAGTTTCTTTACCTGCTCCTCCTAGCCGGCTGGGCACCTGACTTGCCCACAGCAGTGGTGATTCCATTGCCATGGCGACACGCTGTCCTTCCCCAAGGGGTGCAGGATGCAGCAAGTGGCTGGCCCAAGCCTAGCAGTTCCAGAGCGCCCACACTCACGCAGCAGGCTGCCTGGGGCTGAGAGCCTGTGGGTCCCTCCCCATGTGGTGCGGGGCGGTCAGCTCGAGATCCCCGGGGAGGCTTCCCTCCCAGCACCACTTCCTCCAACTCTTGGATGGCTCCTCAGCCTGCTTTCAAGGCCTGTCACAGCAGGTGCCATGTTCCCTCCAGCTGCAAGCAAGAGTGAGGAGTCTGCTTCTGTGGGGAGGGCAGGGCCGCGCCTTCTGTCCACCTGCCACACCAGAGATCGAACTCAGGACCTTGTGCTTGCAAGGCAGGTGCGGCACTGCGGAGCTCCCTCCATTCCTGCAGGTGGCATGGCTGTTTCCTCACAGGTGGCCTTCTCACATACATGCCACATTTCCCACGTTTTCTTGCCAGTCACGCATTGCCAGGCACCTGGAGAGGCTGCATCTCTTGGCCCTGTGTGTGGTGGCAGAGTAGACATGGGTGTGTGGCTCCCCTGACACTGACATCCCTTCCTTTGCTTTGTACCAAGGGGTGGGAGGGGTGAGTCTCCTGGCTGTTCTGTTCTTAGGTCTCGGGGAAGCTCTGGTCTGCTCTCCACCAGGCCCAACTAGTCCATGTTCCCACCATAGTAAGGGGCTCTCCGCCCACCCTCACCAGCATTTATTGCTTTTTTATTTCCTTGATTGTAGCTGTTCCGACTGGAGTGAGATGGAATTTCAGAGCAGTTCTAATCTGCATTTCCCCCATTCTGCCCAAGTTATTTCATCCCACATATGTGCTAGTTTTATAGATCAGTTTCAAGTTTTTTAGACTGGTCCATAAAAAAACTGTATAGAGGGGCTGGGGATTTAGCTCAGTGGTTCTGGCGCCTGCCCTGCAAGTGCAAGGTCCTGAGTTTGATCCCTGGTACCAAAAAAAAAGAAAAAAAAAACCTGTATAGACTTAGGATGTACCATGTGATATTTTACTACGTGTATGCATTGTCTAATGTTTAAATCAGGGTAATGTATCTCTCTCCTCAAAATTTATCATTTATTGATGAAGAGATTCCAAATCCTTCCAGTTTTTTGTTTTTTTTTTGGAACCGGGGATCGAACTCGGGTTCTTGAGCTTGTGAGGCAGGTGGCGAAACCACTGAGCTACACCCCCGGGCCAAGCCCTTCCAGTTTTTTGAACTACACAGTCCATTGTCTAATCGACCATCAGCCACTGTGCAGCAGTGCAGCAGCACTTCCGGCTCCCTCTGACTGTAACCTGGCCCTCACTGGCCCACCTGTCCCCAGCCTGTGGATGCCGCCTGCCCACTGAGCTAAATCCCCAGACCAAGATTTGAAAATGTAACAGCTGTGTGGCCTAGAAATGTGACCTTGCGCTCTGGGAGGAGGGTGTTCTTATCTCCACCTGAAGACTGGTGATAAAGGCCAGCTGTGACACCACAGTAGTTGTGCGCTTGTCCTCTGTCGGTGCTGTGTTGGCAAGGAATGCAGGATGGCGCGATGCCTGCCAGGGACTCTGGGAGGCTTCTGAGAGCTCTGCCCCTCCTCCTTTTAAATTTGGATAAGCAGAGAGTATTTTGCTATTAAAAGAATTACGTGAGGGGGCCGGGGATTTAGCTCAGTGGTGCCGCTGCCTGCCTGGCAAGTGCAAGGACCCGAGTTCAATTCCTAGCACCAAAAAAATATTATGTGAGTAAAACACTGCAGCCTGCTGGAATTACATAGTGAGACCCTGTCTCAACACCCCTACCTCAAAGAAAACAAAACAAACAAACCAAAAAACCACCGCAGCATCTAAAGTGATGCAAGCAGGACTTATGCTATGGACTGCCTGGCTTTGAATAAGAGTAGTAACAATAATACAATAGCAGTGAAACTTTTATGGACCAGTTAATGTGATCCAGGGACAACATAGTCCTCACTTTATTTTATTGGCCTCGCTTTACAGATGAAGAAACTGAGGCTCAGAGAAGTTAATTTACCAACCCAAGGTAACACAGCTAGAATGTGGTAAATTTGAACCTAAGTCTGATTCTAGAGTGAGCACTTTTAACTGGAAGGCTGCAGTGCTTTTCCTTGTTCATACTTTTCTAGATCCAAAGGGTGTTGGCACCAGAGAGGACTGCTTCTCCGGGTTCCCACCTTGATTCTCTTTGGGTTGAGATCTTTTAGAGAAGCAGTATTGATGTCACTATTTACTGTGGTAGTTAAGACATTTGGGGGACGAAGAAGAGTGTGGAACATCATTTTTCTGGGTGCCAGGCGTGGTGGCACATTCAGGGCAATCACTGAGTTTGAGGCCGTCCTGAACTACATTGTGAGACCCTGTCTCAAAAGAACAAAAATACGAGCTGGGGATTTAGCTCCGTGGTTCCGGCACCTGCCTTGCAAGCACAAGGTCCTGAGTTCAATCCCTGGTACCAAAAAAACCAAACAAAAAAAGAACAAAAATATCATTTTTCTGGGTGAAGAAGTTGGCAGGCAATCTCTTCCCACCAAAAGCATCAGCATCCTGAGGGGGAAGCAGGTGAAGAGAGGGCGTGGCAGCAGCAGGGAGCCCTGGCCGGGTGATCATCTGCCTCAGCGGGAGCCCAGGTCCAGGGAGAAGTTTTCATTTTAGAAAGGTGGGAACCGAGGGCAGAGAGGCCACAGCCTCTGGAAAGTACTTCAGTAGAGAAAGATGGCCCGGGTCTGTCGGCTTCCTGAGGATAGAGCCCAGGACGCTGGCATGCACTCCTGTGAGCGAAGTTTACATTTGTACCTAATGAGCTCATTTTCCTTGGTTACAGTGACTTGTTCCTGTCTTTGAGGCTTATTGTTCTCTGGTCCTCCAGGGCTGTTGTCGGAAGTGTCTCATCTGGAAGTGAAAGAAGGACAAATAAAGGCTGCCATCTGTCCCTGGGAAATTCCACGCACTGCCCTGTGGTTGAGCTGGCCACCGTGGGAAGCCTCAACATCTGAACACAGGCAGTTACTGCTTATACCTAGTATGTGGGACTTTCTTGTTTGTGCTCATTTATATTTCTGGCGATTAGAAGATGGGAAAAGAAGACATTTTTGCATTTTGGTATCTCCGTTTCAAAGATAAAAGGTACATACAATCTCACAAAATAAGTCCACTGAGCAAAACCAACCTTTGTGGCATAATAGAGACTACCTTTAGGAAGCTCTCAGTGAGGTTTACCTTGAAAGTAGTAGTAATTCGGTTAGAGAGGCCCCTCTACAGTAGGATAATGTTTGCTACTCCCAGGACCCCATGGAATTATAAAATCTAATCTCCCTTCTCAGGAAATCATTCTAAATCAAACAGAGTATTAGTGTTTGGGTACACCAAGACACCTCTAACTTGTCTTTCCATTTTGGTTTGCCTTTTGACAGATACCACCGATCCTTTAAGGCCCACAGAAGGACCTGACAACATGAAGTACAGATGGGGCCCTGAGTTGCTGGGGGCTCTGCAGCGAAAAGAAAAGCTGCTAAATCTACAGCCAACTGAGAGCCCGCCAGGAATGGGCAGGAGGCTAAGGAATGAGGCGAGTATGATTTTAATTTTTATTTATTTACCTATTTTGGTACCGGGGATCAACTCAGGACCTTGCACTTGCGAGGCAGGCGCGACGCCACTGAGCTACATCCTGGCCCCAAATATGACTTTATTTTAATCTGCTCTTCCCCATAAAATAAGGCCGAATGAATAAATGCCCGAGAGGGCACCAGATTATAGGCCACCGATAAAAATAAGCAGATTATTTTTTAGAAAGTATTAAGATTCATAGCAAGTCGCCTAAGGACTCATTCCGCAGTTTTCCAGTTCCTAAGTATTCGGCGTTCTGGTGCCACCTCGTGGTCAGAGGTGGAACTGAGCGGTGGACTTAGGCTCGGGCTTCAGAGAGGAGTCGGGGCGCTCAGCACCTTGGGGTTCAGCGGCGTCTGCGCCTTCCACAGAGCTCTCATGGGAGCCGCGCTAACCCTGCCCAAGAAGAGCTTGGTAATGCTCTTGAGGTAGCTCTTTTAAAGCAGATACTCCTTTTCTTGCAACTGAACAAAGAAATGAAGAGTAAGCTTGTTCCTAAAATGCACCAATAAAATTAATTTTATTTATTTATTTTTTGGTACTGGGGATCAAACTTGGGTCTTTGCGCTTGCACAGCAAGCAGCGAATAAAATTAATTAAAAAAGAAAGAGTAAGCTTGTTAAAACCTCAGTTCACCCTAATGATTGGTGACACAGCGACTGTATGTGGTAAGATCAGGAAGAGTTTGGTAATTTTTGAAAAAGAGAGCTGAGTCCACCACCTGCCTCGCAAGTGCAAGGTCCCGAGTTCAATCCCCGGTACCAAAAAAAAAAAAAAGAGCTGAGAGATGTAAAGATGGTAAATGTCTGTTCCTTTATGAGGCAGTCTGGTTCAACCTTTAGGAAAGTGGTAGGTTTAGTTCTAGATTCCAGAGTTAAAGAAGGAGGCTAGGAGGGTTATGGGAAAGTCCGTGATGATGAAATAAATCAAAGACTTCGAGGACACAGGAAGTATGAGTTGTGGTCCTTGGCATGAGGAGCCGGGATTATGAATTTCAGATAACAGCGTTCAGCCCATGAAGGGTCCCTGAGGAAATCGCAACCAGTTGGTCTGAGCTTTGTGCAAATAGAACAGGAGTGAGGGGGCTGGTATGGCTCAGAGTTTTTGTGTTTTCAGTACTGGGGCTGAACCCAGGGCCTTCATTGACCTACATCTCCAGCCCTTTTTTTTTGTACCGGGGATCAAACTGAAGACCTTGTGCTAGTGAGGCAGGTGGCACAACCACTGAGCTAAATCCCAGGCCTGCCAGCCCTTTTAAAAATCTGAGGGAGTCTCACGAGTTTGCTAAATTGTCCAGGCTGGGCTCCAACTGGCGATCCTCCTCCCTCAGCCTCCCAGAGTGTGGGGATTACCACACCCAAGTGGCCCAAGAGATTTCTGATAAGGTGCATGTGAGGATGTGCAGCCCCACACATTGGAATGGATTCTAAAACAGACTCGCTGGGTGTGGTGGCGCATGTCTGTAATCCCAGCACTCGGGAAGCTGAGGCAGGAGGACTGCCACAAGTTCAGGGCCAGCCTGGGCTACATAGTGAGACCCTATCTCAAACAAACATCATCATCATCATCATCATCATCATCATCATCATCATCATCATCTAATAAAAGAAAACATACTGTTTTCTAGATTCTAGTTAAGTATAATTTTTTTTTTGAGGCAGGATCTTGCTATGTGGCCCACGCTGGCCTTGAACTCACTGTGTAGCCATAGTTTTTCCTTCCCTGCTCTACCACTATCATTTTGCCCTTGAGAAAAAGCACTTGGCATCTGTGCACCGTGGTGTCTCCGTCAGAATGGAGTCCTTTGAAAGAGCGCCTCGCTCAGAGTGGACCATCATCTGCTTGGATCTGCCTGGCCACAGACCTGGAAGGTCAGGGCCAGCCCGGGTCCAGGGCTGCTGGGAGCCACCGAGGGGGTCGGGAAGGAGCTGTGTGGAGCTCCTGGCAGCAGGCAGTTTGCCCGGAACAATGTGTTCTGTTTTTCAACTATACGAAAATGAAGAATTGTGATCTCCCATCCACCTGCTGCCTGGATCGGAGCTGCTCACCTGTGGGGGTTATTCTGTGCATGTCACACAATGCCACAGAAACCACAATTCTTCCTCTCCACAGACCCTTCCCAAAGGGATGGGACCTAACGAATGTGAGGAGCAGTTGCCCTGGATTGATTATTATTTCAAATGCAGGATCTCGAGTCCTTACTATCACCAGGGAGGATTTCTGGCTTCCTGCTGAAGCAGGCCCGGCCGCCCACTCTTCCTCTCCGGGTGCTGGGGACCTCGGCACCTGGCCCAGTGTGGGCCCCTCTTCGCGTGCTGCACTTACTCCCCAGCCATAATTTAGCCCCTGCTGTGTGCAGGCTTGGCGGTCCACTCTGGCCCGGAATGGGGTATCGAACCACGGGCTGGGGTCCCACCGCTGGTGCACTTTCTGCACTGTCCTCCGCCCTCCTTCTCCTGCTTGTCGAGCCTCTTCTACCGACCCTGACAGTTTGGGCTCAGAGGCTCCTGTTGGCCTTGCCCTGGTGGCAGAGGGGGGTCTCCGGGTCTGGGTGAGCCGGACGTGCAGCTGGTGATCCGTAGTTCTGGAGAGCACAGCTCCTAGGGGTGGAGTTCCATGGGCCTGGGCTCTGCGCCTGAGCTCCGCAGAGCGAACCTGAGCCTCAACGACAACACAACAGACAACAGACGACCCGGCCCAGCAGGAGAGAGCAGAGGGCCGAGCTCTGGGTAAGGGACCGAGGTCCCCAAGGGGAGGCCCTGCCTGCTCTCCACGCAGCCAGAGGAATGGCGAAGTCTGCGTGTGGGAGCCGGGCTGGGCCTGAGGACTTAGGTAGGGCCAAAGCCGCCGCCCTTCTCCCTGGGGATGAAAACACAGCGGGCAGAAAACAGGTGTCCATTCTGGAACTGGCTCCGCTGTTGGAGTGCTAATGACCGCGGGGACGTCGCCCGTATACTCTGGGAGGCACAGGCCTGTAATCGCAACACTCGGGAGGCTGAGGCAGGAGGACTGCCGTAAGTTCGGGGCCAACCTGGCCTAGGCAGTGAGACCCTGTCTCAAAAAACAAACCAACAATCTTTTGGGGGGGCGGTTACTGGGTATTGAACTCGGGACCTTGAGCTCGTGAGGCAGGCACGGAACCACTGAGCTAAATCCTGGACCCCAAACCAAAAATCTAAATTAAAAAAAAAAAAAATCGAAGGCACTGAATTCTGAACACTCTTCAGTTCCTTTCCAGATTTAAGAACTCATTTATGGGTTCTGCTCCCATCAAGGTCACAGTATTTTATTAATTTATTTTTTGTACCGGGGATCGAACTCAGGACCTTGCCTTTTCGAGGCAGGCGGAGGCACCACTGAGCTAAACCCCCGGCCCCAGTTTTAACACCTTCTGAACGAGCCGCCCATGTTCCTAAGGGAGAAGGTCTTATAAATAGGGCTTGGCGGCTGCTCTTGGGAAGTGGGCAGTGCTGGCAACCCCAGCCCGCCAGCCCGGCACAGGTGCCTCCCTCGGCTGGCTGAGCGGAGCCCAGGCTCCCCGTGCGCTCGGGCTGTGCCCCTGGACGGGGCCGCCCAGCCTGGCAACCGCTCCATCTCTAGGCCCCGAGGCTGCCCCTTTTGGGGTTACAATTCGCACAGCCCCACCAAGGCTACGAGTTTCCCCCTTTGCGGGCCCAGCCATGGCAGGGCGGTGGCCGGATCGGTGACTCCGACGCCCACGTATATTTAATTCATGACGAGCAGCATGAGACGGGCTTGTGCAGCTGGGCAGGAGTTGCGGGGGCCCGGCATGCTGGCTGCTTATGGTAATGTGACATATAACTCGGGCCAAACTGTCAGCGAGGCCCTGGCCAGCCTGTTCTGTTCCCGGGGCTAACGAGCTTCCTCTGCGGCCCAAATGTCAAGTCCGGAGGAAAGGGCCGCTTCCCAAGTGTGGCTCTGGGCCTCTGGGCTCATCTTTTATTAACTGTTCTTATTTTCTTTCCTCAATTAACCTTACTATTCCTTTCAACTGGCTCTAAGGAACGGCTGTGAAGGAGCTATTTCCAGTTTTCCTTTTAAATAATGTAGCAGAAGCCCACGGAGTCGCTGCATCCCTCTGAAAATGGGACTTCCCATGGCGACAGGAGCCACCGCTGTCTGGCAGTGAAACCTGTCCGATGCCCCAGGCTCTCTCTGCTGAAGCCCCTGGACCTCTCTCAAAATGCTGATTTCTAACCTTACAGAAGAAAAAACTGAGGCGGAATATATTTAACTATGAGATGTGATGAAAATGTGGTAATGTTCACATTCTTAAAAAATTATTAGTGTTGTAGGAAAAAGGATGCACCTTGAGACCCCCATGTCAAGTGAAATCCATCAGACACGCAAGCTTAAATATCACGTTGTGGGCCAGGGATGTAGCTCAGTGGTTCTGTTGCCTGCCTCATAAGCGCAAGGTCCTGAGTGTGATCCCCGGTACCAAAAACAATTTTTTAAAATTAAGTATCACATCATTTCTCTTATGTGAGAAACCCCAATTATAAGTCAATTAAAGAGCAAAACAAAATGTAGACAATAGGAAACAGGCAGATAGACCTTTTGCAAAAGGGAAGAGGATAAGAAAAGAATGCAGATGTGTGAGGAACACCAAGTCCCTGTGAGGAATGAGGCTGTCCTGCACTGCAAGCATCACTGAGGTGAACAAAGACTAAAAGAATTATTACAGGGCCAGGGATTTAGCTCAGTGGTTCCGTTGCCTGCCTCGCAAGTGCAAGGACCCGAGTTCGATCCCTGGTACCAAAAAAAAAAAAAAAATTATTACAGTGAAAGACAGTGCCCTCGACTCCTCTCAAAATCCTCCCCCTCGCTTTGAACATATCACCCTTCTGCTTGGCCCTTTCTGGAGGAGTTTGGGCGTGTCTTTAGTTCCTTGATGCCCCGAATTGCCTCAAAAGTTTATCTTCTGTGGTCACTTTTTTGTT